CTAATACATTTCGTGATTTGTATTTATGGTACGGCTCTATTTGATCTCAGTTTATGGATCCCTCAGTTTCTGAGAATATATTTCCTTTCTTTAACCACATTAGAAGCTTCTTTATGTGTATGTTTCTGTTATTGTTGGTTCGGGTATTTTCCATGAAGCACTATTGATTTCCATATTTCAATTTTGGATTTTATTTTCATAATTTTCTCCTTAGGATTAAAATCAGCTTCATTGAAGTATAGTGATGCATCAGAGGTTGAAATTGTGCAGATTGAATTATGTAGTGGACTCAACAGTTCTTGCTCGAAAATATGATCACAAATTAATAACCTGCTTATAATGTAGATTTTTAATATGAATTATTCCTCTTCGTCCTAATTTAAACCTATCAACAGCAGAGTGTATGTAATGCATGTCGTATTTGTTGCACTTAGTTCTAGTTAGATCATTGAGTGACTAAATCAGTATCAGACCAACGAATTATTTCGAAGGAGTAAGTGAGTACCGGTATAGCATATGTTAATAGATTTGACTGTGTTTCTACCTGATAGATGTATTGAAGTAGAATCGCTCCAACCCCCAATGGCGTCGCGCACCAGGTCAGTTGTGACCAAGTAGACCTAAGGTGACTCCTTTTCCACAATGAAAGGCTCCGTGTCGCCCTGACAACTTCTCTCAATGATCTTGCCAAACACCTTTTCGACATCATAAATGCGAAGGAACACATCGGCCTCACGCAACGAGCCTTCACTAACCAACTTGTGGCGGGCTCTTCCCCCACAGAGCTGGACTTCTCCCTCGAGCGACAGGATCGGATAAGTCACGATCACCAAAACCACACGCTATTCATACCTTGCCAAATTATGTGTGAGCGCTTACAGGCTCGCTTGTAGTGGTGGAATGTAGTCATACCCGCGTAGCAAAAAGGGAAGGAGAAGAACTGGAAGACCGTCTTCTTCTGGACCGCTCAGGAGGGGTCAAAAGGACCAGCGGCTCGCTGGGAGGAGGCCCAACGTCGGTGCATAGGGTAGGGCTAAGCCTTGCCCGTTTGTCATTTAGTAGTACCCGTGTTGATGGCGTTTTGTTAAAATAAAATGTTGCCGGGGAACTTAAGACGGGCGCGATAATGCTGCTCTTTTATTTATAAGAAGTGCTTGAATCAGTAGGAGGAGGTTGTCTTTTCTAGTGGTCGGTTCCGGATCTGATAGTCTGACCCGTAATTGACACCGCCTGTTTGTATGAAACCCCCTTTACGGATTGAGCGTCGAGGCGAGTAGGATATTTTCCAAAAGGGGAGCTTTGATTCAAGTTCTTCCTTATACTGGGCGGGATGTGCCCGCACGCACGACAGGAAGGGATGGGATACCTACACAGCGCTCTCGATCCCTTCTTCTGCAATCTCGCAGATACATTTTTAATGAAGGCTTTAGTGGGTATGACTTCCCACACTTATCGCAGACCTATCTGGCTTGGTCCATTTTGGCAGAGCCCTGGGAGACGGGCTTAGATCTCCTGTCTGGATTAGGCACCGAAAATGTAGATTGTGACCTTTTGTGTATTGCCCCTGTAGAGGGGACAGGTCCGAGAACATTTGCACAATCATCGACATGAGTTCCTGTCTAACATGCTGCTGGCGTACCCGTATCAGCAGCAAGATCCGAGGTTTTACTTTACACCTAGCCACATGACATTGGGGGATATCCCAAACCCAGCGTCGCCATCGAGGAGGCCCCTGCCGACACTTAAGCCGACTTGTTTTTTTTTTTTTCGGTTGTGCCTTTAACCCAGGCAGCAGGGTCCGGGGTGGAGTCAGAGGGGGGCATCTATTACTCGGGTTCATATATAAGGATTTGGGGAGGAAAGGCGTTTAACCGATACTGGTGCGGCGCGTCACAGAACTGCATGGTGGTATAAGTCCTGAAGGAAGTGTTTGCACCAGGCGCCACGCCAGTTAAGTGTATCCGCTGCCACGTGAACCTCTTGGTTTCGTGGCCCTTGTTTTAGGTGTTCTACAACAGCTGGTGTGTTGTACTTGCAAATTTTGGTTTTGTGGGTTTCCATGAAGACTATACTGTCTGTGACTTTCCGACAGTCTATAACGATAGTTCTAAAGCCCATGGTGCCTACAATATCAGGTTTACGCGGTCCGGCGGGTGCGGCGATGACAGGTTCCAGGGTGGTCTTGTATCCCTGTTCTCTCAGCTTGCGGTCGATGTATTTGACAACCGCATTATGACGATCGTTTCTGGGCTCATGGGTCCTGTAGCATCGCTGGAGTATGTGATTAAGCGTCCCCTGATTATCACAGCCGGCTCTGCACGTTCGGTCTTTAAGAGGTCTACCGCGAGCCGTACAGCTGCGGGATGGCAGAGCATTAATTCTTAATCGGATTGAATTGATAAAGTCTCAGCCGGACAATAGGAGAGTTGGTTCACGGTCCTAACGTTGGGTCTCGGGGCATGTATATGCCTCTCGAAGGCCGGCACCGTCCACGGAGCGATGTAGCTTGCCTCTCCACATGGATGCTATGTCGGAGAGGGTCTTTATCTGTTTGTCATTGATGTTAAGGCGTTGCTCCGCGGCGACGAGTTCGGTTGCAAGGAAGGTGTTTGCAACAGTCACATTTTCCAGCGAAGGAAGTTTGAGACACATGAGCTTATTCCTTCTCAGGCAGGAAGCAGCCCACCTCATGGAAGGGACGCCTAGCCCACTATCCGAAACGTCGACATGAATGTAGGCATTCGGGATGTCATTGGGGAGATTTAGGCATCTGCGAACGGCTGCCCGGATCAATCGCTCTGTCTTCTTGAGACAGCGTAGTTGAATGCGACCGAGACAACATTTGTGATAAAGGCGCGGCAAAAGCACAGTACGAAGCGCATGCAAACGTTACTGTGGCTTCAGCGGCGCCCTCGTCAGTCGCAGTAGCGCAGGTTCTATCTCCTCGTGAGCGTGGAATAGTGCGCGTCCGACGCTCGTAAATGTTACACCTAAATACCTCCATTCCTCGCCAAGCGCAAGATAGGGTATCTTGTTTTTGCCAACTGAAAAAGTTCTCATTTCCAATACGTTCATCTTCTGCTTCGGCTGGCCCTTAATGGAAATGGTCTTCCACTTAGCCGCATTTGAGTTCAAACTAACGGATCTAAGGTAAGTATTTGCAGAGTCTGCAAACTGTTGGGTGTGGACGCTGCTAGAAGTAGATCGTCTGCAAAGGTCAGTGCATTTATCATTGCCGAGCCAATTTCAGATCCAATATGGACAGGAAGGGAACGAAGGAGACGGTCAATAACGATGTTAAAAATCAGTGGCGATAATGGATCACCCTGTCTGACTCCGCGATTTGGGATAATGGGTCGGGATGTCCACTCCGGTGTGATTATGGTGGTAGAGGATTACTAATTGTAGTCCATTATGTATTGGACAAACTCTATTGTAAACCCATAATCGGAGAGCACCTGGGAGATGGCCTGATGAGAGACGGAGTCGAAGGCCTTACTTACGTCAAGGATGGCGACGTAACAAGATCTATAACGTTCTTTATTAGACCTTAATAGCATGTCGACGGTTGTCGTGTTGTCGGCACATCCGTCGACAGGATGGAAGGCTCGCTGTCTCTCATCGAATACAAAGGTGAAAAGTATTATTTTAGCTAGAATGGAACGCCAAAAAGGTTCCATCACCTGACGAGGTGGGAATGTGTAGTCGACAAGTCCATCCAAAATTGATTTAATACATCTCCCCTGGTGCTTTCTCCAATTAGCCTGTGTACTCTAGCGTACTCTAGGGGCCGCTGCTTTTGTCGAGTGAGGGGCTTCTCCGGTTCCTCCGCCGTAGGACGTTGTTTAGCGGGATGAGGCGTCGGCAATATTTCCTTGAGATAGGACAGCCGAATAAAGATGTCCTCCTTGTCGATCGCTTTGGCTTGTCGGACAATGTCCAAGAACTCATGAGACCGGAAAGAGTCTCCTTTGGGGTGGAAGATGGCCAATATACAGTCAATAAAGCCACTCACTCTCAGGAATCACCGGTGCTTCGACTCCGCCAGTAGAGGGCTTCGGATCAGCATTGTCCTGTCTGAGTGGGGCCCTTGTAGTTGGTTTCAGGCTCAATCTCCTTGTAGTTTGTGGACTGACTGATATGACGATCGGGTGTGGCCGGACAGCTAGTGCGTTCAAGAAGGCTGCCACGACGTCTTGATAAGGTTGTTTTTGGCGCCCCTTCTTGATGGCGTCGAATGTTCTATTGGGGAAGTGTTTAACAAGTTCCTGGTTTATAAACCGTACTTCACAGTGTCAAGATCTCTGCTTCCTTGTGCGCCAATATCGTCACCTCTTTGTCCGTCCATCTTGTCCTTACATTGACCCGAAACATCTAAATGGGCTGGATGTTTCGCACGGATGTGGACGCCCAGGCCGGTTTTTGTCGTGAAGGATGTGTCGCATTGGGTACAGGCATACGGAAGGGGGGGGTTGTTGTTGGTCGCCCGAGCCAAAGGGCCCGGGCTTAGTGGTCATCCGAGGCTTGTTCTTTAAGTTAGGGCCAACAACTGACGGCTGGGGGTGGAAACCCACCCTACCCATTAGCAACCACACCCTCAGCAAGACAAGTCTGTTGCCCGCCTGGACTCACGAGGAGAGAGTCTGTGTGGCATTTTTATGGCTCCCCCGAAAGAGAATCATAGTTACTCTCACCGTTTACCCGCGCTTTCTTCAATTTCTTCACGTTGACATTCAGGACACTGGGTGGAAATCACATTGTGTCAATACCCTCTGGGGTCATAGCAATGTTTTAATTAGACATTCAGATTCTCCTAGTCCGTATCATTTCTGAGTGGACCATTAAATGGCGGCCGAAGGGGACAACCGGCCACGACGCGAGCTGCAGATCGACGCTTACAGCAAAGAATTTCCGCGGGTGGCCAAGACACGGGACCGACTTCGGGTCCGACAGGGGCACGAAGCTCGCGCCATCATCTCGCCCAGACCCGGCACGTCAGCCTAGACCCGCTTCCCGACCAAGCCGGACACGTCCCGATCTACAGAGCCAATCCAATTTATTGACTTCTCTTACCCACAATATTCTATCGACTAGAGGCTCTTAACCTTGGAGAGCGGCTCCGGATATGGGTACGAACTGACGCGACACCCGCACATGGCCCTCTCCCGGATTTTCAAGATCCGAGGGAAAGATGCGGACACCGCCGCAACTGCGGTGCTCTTCACGTTCCAAAGCTCTTCTAGAATGTTCAATGTTCAAGTTCTTGCACAGACGGGCTCACGCCCAATTCCTGCACTCACCGCCAAGACTCCTCGTCAGACCTTCGTGATGTGATCGATAGGGGCGCGTTGCTCCTGCCGCTGACGGCAGCGTATAAGCCCGACGCTACAGCGCCATCTAATTTCAGGGCTAGTAACTTCGGCAGGTGGGTGGTTACACACCTTGGCGGATTCAGACTTCCGTGGCCACCGAACGGAAACAATACAATTTATTAAAAGAAAATGTTTGCAATGGTGCCGCTACCCCACCCGAAGGTACTACAGCGACGGTCAATAACAATACAAAATTCTCATCTTCTTTCTTCTCATCTGACTTGACATTACTAATTAACCTAACTTAAACTAGTTAAAACCTAACTGGCTGGTTCACAAAGAATTTCCTGGTTTAATCTCCTGCCGGTAACTGCAAATGCCTGGCTGAATATGTGAAGATTCGAAAAATTTTGGCAGTTGTTGTAGAACAAACAAAATAGCTCAAACCCCAACGCCAAAACACGACACTGTAGTGGTCCGACGAACTTTTCGGTAACAAGGGACTAAAATGAACGAAATCTAAAAGGGAACTAATCCTAATTTATACAAATAATTGTGAAGGTTTAGTGAACATGGCTCAATGACAACAAGGTTGATGTTCAATGGACCTTAACAATCATAAAAGTAATTAAACTAGAATAAATAGCGGAGATCCAGGGATAGAACCGTTGTCATTGTTCAATAAAATTTGTTTATTTTTATAAATGTATAAACTTTCAAAACTATTTAGTAAACAATTATTTCTAACTTCCCTAACTATTTTAAGAATATTAATATTATGTTCTTCACTAAGAATATGTTGGGAAACATTAGATTTTTCCTCTACCAAACCGGGCATGAGCTAAATGCTCCCTAAATCTAGTTTTGATTGAGCGTCTAGTTTGTCCAATATATTTTTTACTACAGTCATTACAGTTGATTTCATATATCCCCAACTTTTCCAAAAAAGAAATTTTATCCTTAGGGTTACCAAGGAGAGTTTAAATGGAGTTACCATTTGAACTGTAAGCAATCCGTAACCAAGTTTTCGAAAAATACCCTCGAGTCCTCGAGTAAATCTGGGCTCGTATGGCATAGTAATAAACTTGGTCTTCTTAGTATCTGTTTGAAAAGTCGTAGATCTTGAAACAAACTTCCTAAATTTAATCGTATTAATTAATTTATCAATAATGTTACCATTGTAACCATTGTCTTTCTCAATTTTCTAAATTGTACAGAGTTCCTTATGATATCTACTTTTACTGAGAGGGAAGCTAAGCAATCTATGTACAAGGAAATTAAAACTAGCCATTTATGTTGAACACAATGATTAGAGTGGTTGGGTATAGATCTAGAGGTATTAGTGGGTTTTCTGTAGATGTCGAATTCTAAAGAATTCCCATTTCTTACAACCAACGTATCTAAAAATTGTAACTTGCCATCATTTTCCATTTTAACAGTAAATTTAATCGAAGGGAAACGTGAATGTAAATTCGAATAATAAAATATACATACTTAAAATGACCTCGAATAAAAAATGGCGCGACAATTTTGAATTGGGATAGTCCGGCTGCAAGCAATCTACAGATAATAGTACCAATCGCTGTAACAACAAACACGAACGGGTTATGAAAAAATGCGGAATAAAAAGAGCGAGGGCCGCAAATGACGAAAAATATTGTTCCCAAATTATTATATTGTACGAGCGTTTCGTTCGAGTGAAAGCTTATCACTTTCCCAAAGCCAAGTTGTTTTGGTGCTTCTCCATATCCACCGCGCTTGTTTTGCTTGAGCGGGGTGAGACGAATGGGGGTGCGTCGAAAGTTATCACGTCGAGTCCCGGCGCATTACGCGGATTCATGCTACTAACGGGGCATTCTATTTCCGCGTCATCATCATAAGCTCATCAGTCCTAAGAATGGTTGGACACGTACCTCCACTCTTTCCTATCCTGAGCTAATCTTCGCATTTCCCTAAAACTGGAATAACCCCCATCCTTAACTATTTGCGAGCAATAATCTAATCCAGATCTACGTCTACCCTTTCTAACTCCCGTTTCTGCCTCTAATATGTCTTTGGCTAGACCTTCATGCCTGTGAAGATGTACTCCTAACCTATCTCGCCTATTTCTTATTGACATCCATAGAGACTCTAATAACTCTTCATTTCTTATCTTCTCTATCCACGGTATCCTCATCATTCGCCCATAACACCACATTTCGCGTAGGTAATATTTAAAAAAAAAACATCGTACTCGAGTACATTGTTCGCGGCCGCGCGAACTCTTCCGTAATTATCGTTTTTTAAATTTGGATCGTTCGACGTAAAGAAAGAATTTAGAATAAATTCGGCCGTATCTGTAATACTTTTAGTGAAAATACCGTCGGGAAGTTTTAAAATTTGTAAACTACTTCGATTTGAATTTTTTCTGCGAATTACTTTATTAGCGGCTCTCCAAGGACCTTTTTCTCAATTTAAGCCTACAAAAATCTTTAAATTTGTCGCCTCTTATTTTAACAAAAAGAGCTTGATATTTGCGAAATGTGCGGTTGTATTCAGCCCGTTTATTTACTCTAATCGCGTCGTTTTTTTCACATTGAAAGGAGCGGCAAAGTCTCTGCGATTCTAATCTTTGTTCAGTAACTTCGTTAGTCTACCACGGTACACTATTCGTAAAAGATCTTTTAGGCGGCATTGACTCCTCGCAAGCTTCTACTATGCAGTCATTTTGAAAATTTGCGCGTTCTGAAATATTATTTTCGTCAATTAGTGCTATATTTCCTATGCTATCCCTAAAACTGTCCGAAAAAATTTGCTTTTTTATTACAAAATCTATGGTCAACGATATTGGTTTCGTTTTTATCAAACGAAATTTGTCACAATATTAATTTATGGTCGGAAAGTGTTTCTTCTTCCGACAAATGCCAATTTTTTTTTAAATTTAATGCATTAAAATTTGCTATAGTTAAATCAACAAAACTTGACCCGGGATGTCCAACAAAGCTGGGTTCGACATTATTATTTGATATGACAAAGTTATTATTTTCAAAAGTTTCAGAAATATTATTACCTCTATTGTCATTTGTTAGACTGCCCCAAACATAATTTCTCGCATTAAAATCACCCGCCATAACAATATGTTTTGTTTGTTCGAGTTCTGATAAAACAATCAATAAGTCGGAGAAACTTTTTCTCGTTGATGTTCGGCCACGCGGGTGGCAAATAGACATTAACAAGAACTATCTTTATCGTATTTACGGCAATTTCAACTACAATTATATTATCGCAAGTAACACTTTTTAAAAATAAACAAGAAATGTTTGATTTATTTACAATAATTTAGATTCATAAATTACCGAATTATTTTTAAAAAAACCAACAATTTTCAATCTATTGACCGTAGGTTCTCGTACAAAATAAATATCTAGTTTTTTATCTAAAATAACCTTTAACAGATTGCTAGTAGCCGCCTTGCCCTTACCTAAATTAATTTGACCGAAATTTAAAACGAAATCTGCGTCGGGGTTATTTTTATGGGTTTTAATTTCCATAAAAATTTATATTTGCTAAAATGGAATTTTTTATTCTATTCATTGTCGGGCAAGACTGTCTCTTGGCGTCGTGATCTGTACTAACAGGCGCGTGTTTTTTGTCCTTATTGGACCTTTTGTATCCCAGTAAGCGATGCTTAGAGATCTACGCTTATCTGCATACCACTTATTTAAAACAACCGAATTTCCGAATATATTTTAGTAACATGAAATTTTACACTAATTAATTATCAACTACTTAAATTAAATACTTTAAGCCTTTGAGGATACTTCGTAAATAAATAATGAACGTTTCAACTTTATTATCACTGTGTTAATGGTTTAATAAGAAAATTGTAAAAATAACAAAACGAACGTGACCGAAAAGACAGCACATGGGGGGAATATGGCTCGAGGGTAGTACTACACATGTATATATATTCAAAAAATCAATAATGGGTTGTCGAATCCTTCGCTGTGGGGTCTACAGATGGCGGTTCCATACCAATTCTTCCTACACTTTCCTCCTCTGTACTTCACGGTGGGTCCTCCAGCGGAGTACAGGACTGATTTGATGGTATGGGATTCTTTCTAGGTCGTCCTCTTTTCTTCTTAGGTGCTAACGGAGTCGGTACGTTTTGGGACCATTTTTTATTCTTAGAACCCTGGAATTCCGTCAGATCGGAAACATGATATCTACCGATTATGTCATTAGGACCCAACAATGAACCTATTTCGTAGCTTGTAGGAGTTACCACCTTAGTAACTACGTAGGGACCATCTCTTTTCGGGGCCAACTTCGCAGAAATCCCTTTCTGCGCGTTACTCAGTGCATGACTTATGAAGTATTTGTTGTCCTACTTGAAGGGTAACTGGACGGCGGCTTTGGTCTTCATACTCCTTTCGTTTATCTTGCTCATGAATCAGTTACTTTCCATTGACGGATGGCCATTTCTAAGTCCTTGAGAAAAGGAGTAATGGTAGGTACGAAATTATCGGAGTCTAACACTTGGCGAAAATCGTAAAGAGTATCATGAGGTGCTCGCAACTATCTACCAAACGTCAAATAAGCTGGGGTGTATCCAGTTGAAATCGAATGCTTGCTATGTGAGTATTTCATAGATGATGGAGGTTTTGAGACAAGATAGATAATTGGGTTTTAAGGTCTCTGTTCTTTCGTTCGACTGCGTTGCTTTCGGGGTGGTAAGTAGGAAATAGGGTACTGTTGATTCCAAAACAAAAAGTAACCTTCTGCATAATGTCGCTAATGAACTGTACTCCATTATCAGAAATCATCTTCCTTGGAGTGTCAAATCTGAGAATAATGTCATTGATAAGTGCCTTAGCACACGCTTCAGCACAAGCAATCTCTAATGCAAACAGTTCCACCCATTTAGAAGATGCGTCTTCTATAATTAGTATCCATCTTGGGGAGTTGTCGGTAATGGACAAAACAGATCGATAGCAATAACTTCAAAGCGCTGTAATGGGGCTGGAGCCTGAAGGAATCCTGCTGGCTTTAAGTTGATGGCTTTATAGCGTTGGCACTCTACACAGTTCTTTATGTGGTCAGTAACAAATCGACGCATACCAAC